ATGACACATAGTTCTTCATGATTTGGTATTTATATGTTGCTAATCATGTAACTGCAGCTCTCCACAAAGGCTCACTTATTATCACAATTTACCTACTGCATAAGCTAATCCCAAAAATGTATCCAAAACTGGAGATCACCAATTTGGCCCTGTAGTCTTGTACAATGTCTAAAAAACTTACGTCAAATATATTTGTAAAAATTAGCTAATTTGTAGTATTGATCAACTGAAGTATATTAATATTCCTTGATGATTGACCCTCAACCACATGGGACACCTTCTCCTGGGAGTACCTGAAGATGGAGCATTTTCCAGTGCTTCCAGATAAGAGCTAAGGCTTTAAAGTTACTTGTAAAAGTGCCATGGCAAGATGCTCAAATGTGTGTTATTATTCTGTATTCTATCATGCTGAACTGCAATCATTTAGAAATCCCCTCCCCCCTAACTTAATTTCACGAAAAACATAGAAAGTGGCCACAATATTTTCCCCATTTCTTGTTCATTTTCCCCGGCACCATTGGGTTAAGTATGGAAAACGTAATTAGAATAATTTTGGACATGAAACACTAAACTTTACCCACTGGATCCAAAAGCTTCATAGCAATCATATGGCCCAGAATATGGAGATTAGGCTTATGTGAATGGCCACATCGATGGGTGCACCTCTGGTAGACTGGGCACCTGTGAACACTCGCCTGCGGTGACAAGACTTTATTCCTCCCCTTTGCAATGTTATTTTCTTCTTTCATGCACAAGTGTTTTTAGCATTTTTGCCATTTTCTGATCTTCATAGTTGTTATTTGATATGCTTTATCTACATGGTAATAGACTGTTTTCCATGCACAGACTCCATGTTATCTCTCTAGGTAATCCATAAGTCAGTGTAAGACTAATAACAGTAAGTGGCATTTTGTTATTTACATCTTCTTCAATTCATTTTTCTGAAATACAGCATGTACTGCTGGTCATGACGGCAAGGAAGAGTAGGCTGACATGGAAATGGTGTCCTTCCTCAAGCTGGGGTAGTATTCATGAAAGGTCTTAGACTCCAAAATTTGCCCCATTGCCACATTTCAGTTAATGCTGATACTAGGAAACACATTCATATTGCAATAAACCCTATTTTGATAATCTGTTGTAATAGGACAATTAGGTAACTCTGGCTTATATCACAACGGTAATATTACACATTAAGTATATCTAAATGTGATGCCGTGTCCCTACACTTATTGCCATTGCATCAGCTGTAAAGTCATGCAATGATATTTATATTTTTAAAATAAAATACAGCAATTAAAATGTAGGAGACAGCTCAGTTAACATTTGACAATTTATCTAAAGAGGCCTTGAAGCTTTTTGTATTGTTTCCAAAGTGAAATAATCTTCAACAGAGGAAAATTTGCATAAGGAGAATGAAAAATAGTCCTTGCAGCCGTGAATAGGAAATATCAGTAAAATGTAGAAACGACTAAAAAATTAAGATTTGACAATAAATCAAAATGGTCTTTTAAGATTTTTCTATCATAGTTGGTGCAGAATAAGTTTCAGATTGGTGTAAAATTGCATTGTATTTTTAAAGATAGTCTTTATACGCATGGAACACTTCCACACCTGTCATAAAACTTTGGCCGAATCTGAGACAAAAACTGCTTATCTTAGACATTTTTGTTCTGAGTCACATATAAATTTGCTGAGTCAAAGATATATGAAGATAATTACACATCAGTAATGACAAATTGACTTTGGAGGCCCATTCTGATTTATTGTTAACCATTAATTGATATAAATATTTACACCAATTTTCTTTTTGAAAATACAAATGGCTCCATGCAGCTTCACAGCCAATGCTATGTCAACAAACCTATGGGAGCCCAAATTTTAGATGAATATATGAAATGTGAAATACTATTGTCATTATAGAAGGTATATTACAGTATATAGTTTTAAGAAATTACTGCAATCAGTTATCTTAATAGTCCATAACAATGTAAATGTATATTCTATAACTAGCATTTACTTTGAGATGTTTCACCAGGACAGATCATAGATTTTTTTTCTTCTAAGACAGATTTTGGAGTGTAAGACCTTTGTAAGTACTGCCCCTGGTGCTCTTCCAGTCATGGCTCACCTATATTACATTCCACACTTGTTTATCAATGGAAATAATGCCAAAGTTCTTTCCTAAACACCAAATGAGTATAATTACCCTCCCAGAGGCTTGTGCACTCGTGGCGACTCTTTCCCATCACCCTTGCCTTCAGCCAAAAAGCTCACTTTGTCCCAGTTCAAAGCCAGATTTTCCCATGACAGTATGTTCATGTCACCCCCCCCCCCCCCTCAAGCCATTTTTTTTTCACATGATGGTCACGTCATCTAGATTGAAGGGGTTCATCCAGTCATCATGATTTAGTAAACCTTTTTGCTAATTATTCCAAATTTAAATCTCAACATGATTAAGACTTCCCCCTCACATATCACTAGTTACTGGAGCCCTGTAAAGACCAGTATTATATGATATGATCATTACCATGAAAGTTTTTCCTCTCTCCTCTCCTCTCCTCTCCTCTCCCCCACCTCCACTCCCTCTCCCTGACAAACAGTATTTTTTTCTTCTTTTTCTCAAATTCAATCTTAAAGAGTTTACCATTTACCACAAATCAAAATAAGAAAAAGAAAAGAAATGTATTTATACTTTTATGCATTTTCCGTTATTTTCCATCCTCTTCATTTTTGGTCATATTTAATTTCAGAATACTATGGGACTCAGAAAATGACAAGGCAAGAACCAAAACTTTTCCTGTCCTTTATGAGTGCATTTGTACACAAGTTTAAAGAGGGGGCAGTACAGTAATGGAAAATTGTAAACATTTCACATTTAATGACATTATTATATCATCAGATGAAAATATCACATTACAGAAAGATAGTAAACCATTGTTAATAACATCTAACCACTAAATACACCACTTGATAAGTATGTAAATTAAGTTTAATATACAACCAAATTGTTTTAAAGAATTTATGGGCTTATTTAGTTGGTATAAAGGAATTCTTTCTTGTATGATATGAGGGACTATTTGTTTCATGGGGAAAACATCTTGGAAGATAAATGTAACAAAGGGACTCACTTTCTTTCTCTTTCTCTCTGGATAATGTAAGAAACTCCTTTTTTTTCCAAATCAGAGTTCGACATTGCTATGGAAGTTATCATTGTGTTATTGATGAGTTTGAAATAAGTTAATTTTACCAGAGAATTGAGATTATGGATATTTTTAGCATTTGCTGTTCATATATAGTGTAAGTGGCAGTGATTTGCATATCTCCTTAATGATCTCATGAATGTGTTTATATATTACTCACTTTGCTATAAATGTTAGATTTTTTTTATGATGGATTGAAAATTGATCTGGAGAGATATAAGTTCATCATAATTACTACAAGCGTAAGCATGAGTAGAAATGGTAATAAAAACACACATGCAACAAAAAGAGGAACACCAAAATTTTTCATCTCGAATTGATTCCTTTTTTGATATCTCTGGATTTTACCATCTAAAGACTAAAAACCTTGCATTCTAGTGTTTTTTTCTTACTGTGGTTATATTTCAGTTCATCTTTGTTTTAAAGTCTTAGTATTTTTGTTCAAGTGTAAATGGGATTGAATATTGAATGAAGCAGAAGGGATATTCACTCTTTGATAAGGCAGGTATATGCTTCCATCATTATTAAAAGGGAGTATTGAACAACCCCCCTTTCTCCTTTATGAATAATGTTGATGCTGTATACCTTTACTCTTAAATTATTATTCTCTTTTCTAAATATTTATTCTTCATTTATTCCTTGTCTTTCTTTTTTCACTATGTTTTGATGTGCAAAGTGAGTTAGATTGTTTTTCCATATATTAATCTGTTGATGCCCAGAGGGCATGTACACATGCCCTGTCCTGAGTGAATTTACAGTGTCACCAAGGAATCAGTTGTTAGGCCTGCCTGACATGCCTGTATACCCTATTACTAGAATTTTTAGAGGGAAAAGTTTTTATTATTACTATTGTTGATATTGTTAGGAACATCAGACTGATGGTAATAACATTAATAGCAGTGATAATAGTATTGGAAGTAAACCTTTTTTGCATGAAAATTAAAAGGCTGATGTAAACAGAAGTGGTCAGGTAGGCAAAGTAATTGACTCCTTGGTGACTAGGTGGTTGTGAAAGCATCTATGTATAGACAAAATTAACAGAACAAAACATCAGGGAACAGTACATCTACCCAGCGCCAATGGGTTAACTTCCAAGCAAAAAACAGCTGACGGGTCTAGGAGATTAAAAAGACTAATTTTTAATTGTTTTTATTACCTGTATAAGGTATATACAGAAAAGGAGAAAATGCGTTTGGTCGGATATATTGTTGGGATTTGATACTAATATACAAAAAGTCTTTAATTAAAATCAAGAAGACTTGTTTGTGCATGTAACATTGTGTATGGTAGTTACCATGATTTAGCTGGTACTTAATTGTTTTAAAAGTTGTTTTAACTTTATTTTTCTTCCTTCATGTTTCAGTTCATGGTCTTTTGGGTTGAGGAATAGGTTTTTGTCTTTGCATGTTTATGGTATAGTTGGATGTGTTTAGGAACGATTGGCAGAGAAGAAGAAAATGGTATTGGAGTATGCTGGGAATAGGGTAGTCTTTTTGTTACAGAGATGGCTTATACTACAAGTGCACTGTTCTAACAAGGTTAGACTAGCTACATTTCCTTTGGATATTGGTTTGGGGACAGTTTTCTTGAGAAAATTATGTATATACACATATGTAATAGCTTTTTCAAAGAAATTAAAATTATATAACCTCTTGGTTAGTGTACTATTCTTAATGTCGAACACTGATTTAATGCCATTGTATATAGTTTCTTTATGTGCTTTATGACTTGTTTCCTTTTTCTTCTGATCATTTGCTTTTGTAAGTCAGTGTTAAATGTGTTCTAATCCTGATCCTTGAAGCATATTTATTTTGTCATAAAGTCAGCTATATTCACTGCTTTATATGTTGTTTCGAAAGATTGATTTAATAGGCTTTTGTGTCAAATAGTACTTTGTTTGTGAAGTTTGTTTTTAAATGTTGAATGAATTTAATACATGTACAGTCTGGGACAATTGATAGAACAGGATCAGCACCATATCCCCTTACAGGTGTTCTCCATACTTGGTAATACTGTTATGTGGCATTGTCAAGAACCCATATGTCTGTGCTGCAGCTGGCATTCAGCACACTGTGATTATTCTAATGGCAATTTGTGAAAATCCTAATCACTCATAGTGAAATGGTAGTAGTAATACTACTACCACTAATGATAAGGATGATAGTAATGACATTGATAATGATAATAAAAGTAATAGTAATGATAATATAATATGCTCATAGTAATGAGAATAATTATGATTAATATAATAATTAATATAAAAACAATTATGTTAATTTATGATATCAGTATGATTTATGGATATAAAGAATATATTGAGTTTTGAAGAATGAGATTTTGAGAATATATTATTTTGAATTATTAGCATTAAACAATGATAATAAGGGAGGGAAGGGGGGGGAAGAAAGTTCAGATAAGTAATATTTAAATGATTTATTTAATTCCATTTGTTGCAATGGTTATTCTTATGTTTAGTGTGACAGGCTTACTGTTTGCTTCAACGAATGGGTTACCATCCTCTGGCAGCATAGGACTTGAATACAGGTCAGCAAGATTCTAGATGAGAACGCTACCACTCTGCCACACAGCTCGTGCTCAGTAGTTGGAAGGAGACGTAAAGCTTGCTGGAAAGTTTGCTTATACGTACCAGTATTAAGCCTCAGCATTAGTATATTATAAATATACAACAGCATGTATAATGCCATCACAGAAATTATTTAATTAATTATTTACTGTTTACAATATCTCTGGTCTTTAGTAGGTATTGCACTGTATTGTAAAATATGGACAACTTGAATGAAATTGTATAAAGGTTGCAAGACTCAACAATTAGTCTGTTGATCGAGTGTCATCATTTGTAATATGCTGAATGCAACTGCTATAGAGCATTAGTGATTCTTTTAACTTCACATAACATAGTATTGCCAGGTTATGAGAACACCAGCGGGGGATTATGTTGCCTGTGCTAATGACTTATCATGTGTCCCGGACAGTACAACCTAATTTAGAAATTTGTTTGTACTTTAGTAAAGTTTATTAGAGAAGCTAAATGCTCATTAGATAATGGGAAGTAATATTTTCTTTAGATGTATTCTGGTATTAGAAGTTCTGTTTTCTTGTAATTTTTGTGGAGTTAGTAGTTTTTTTTGTGTTTATGTATTCATTTGATTCACCTGCAGACTGATCCACTGTACTCTTCGCAACTTAACAGAGAATTGAATATGACAGTATTCAGAAGATTCAGGATCCTCCAAAATTTTGGCGTTTTTGGATCTGGTCCGATATACCAGGTTAGACCGCACTCCTGTTTTCTCCATTTTATAAATAAATGGGGGACAACAAGAACACTTGTGGTGCGCTACATACTACACTCTTTTCCCAAATGCCAAAGCCAAAGGTACACATTAGGTTATTGGTTTGGAGGATCTTAAACATTTAGTAGTTTGTGTGCAATCATGTGATTAGGTTTTCACTTCAGTAGTACACAAGTGAAGACTTTAAAGACAAAATCATCTTGACTTGCCATGCTACATGTAAATGATATTTCCTGTACATTATATAATAGTCCTAAATAACCTAGATCATCAGCAAGATGTTCTGATATAGGTACTCTTTTATGTGTATGATTTTTTGAAAATAAGAAATCAGAGAAGAAAACAGAAGATTGATATTAAACATCATTTATACATATTGACCACCTCCCATATGCTACCAAGTTCCTTCACTAATCCATTATTATTTTCGAATTCCGTAGGCCACTGCACTTTCACACCCTGAAAGGGTATGATAAGTGCTGGATAGTAGGAATATTATAGTGTATATTGTGCATATTGCAGTTATCTCATGGGCAGAGTCACTACCTAATTGAGAGCTTTACCACTGCTCAAAGCCCTTGAAGCTATGCGTGAGGCATTGAATCATTTTGTGCTCATAGCACTGCCATAGAGCTTGTACTGCCTCAGTCATTACGGTGTGACCTCGATCACCGTAACCTACAAGCACTTGATGCTGCATGACTACTAGTTTCAGAGATGAGGTTGTAGACCTTCTATCACAAATCAAGGCAAGTTACAGTGCAGTGCATAAAGTATACTGAAGTTCTCTTCAGATAGAGAAATTGACAGGTACTTAGCTCTTGTAATACAACTGGGACCATGTACAGGAAGATATTGTTCCAGATATGCATATTCCTTGGCAGTATAATTATTTCCTTATGATGTAAAGAACAGGAAATATCACTGAAACTTGCCAGTGTATCCATACACTTAAAATATAGGGGGGGGGGGGGGGATCAGCCTTA